CTTCTCCTTCCTCACCTCTGCATGGCTGGGGAGCAGGATGAAGGTCATCTCTCTTGGTGGAGTGGCTTGCTGGACCGGCCAAGGTGGGAAGTGCTGCCTGGCTCAGCACCCTGCCCAGGCAGCCCCTGCAGTGCAAACCCCAGCCCAGCTGCCTCTGAGGGGCTATTCATAGCCTCCAAGCCCTGACCAGCCTGGCCTGGAGCCCCCCCCCCCGCTGCCGTCAGCCCTGGTCTGTAATTAAGCCCAGCCCTGGGCACTCAGTTGCTGATTGAGTCGCCTTTCTCTGGTCTTGACTCCAGGAAGGATCTTAGGTCCATGCTACAGCCTTGGTGCTGGTCTTGTCTCCTGCGTGGACTTTAAATCCGTGCTGTGGCTTTGTTCCCAGTCCTGCCTCCGGCTCCATCTCCCGACCGAACTCCCCCGGTCTGGTCCATCCCCTCACCCAGCGCAGACCCTGCAGGGCTCACCCCTCGTCCGCACCCGCAGAGCCTGGGCCCACCGCCTCGCCCAGCAGAGCCTCTTCTGATGCTCTCCTCCCGGCAACGTGGATTTGTGGCGCTGGGAACTCTTGCTCAGCTTCCACACCATTAGTTATTAGTTATTAGTTATTGCAGTTAGCTCTGCAATTAGAATATTCACCTACAGGCATTCCAGCTCTGTAGTAGATTGCAACTATCACCAAGAAAATTTTGCAGAAATGCAAATAACTGTAGAGCACAGTGCATGAAGAGGTACAGAGCAGTACTTCTATATTATAGAAATATATTATTATAGTATTTCTATAAAACTTTTAAAAAGTTTTTCCATGCACCTCCCCATAACCCGGCAGTGATGGTATATGTTCACCTCCGCTTAAAAGTTCCAGTCAGAGAAAATGTTTGCCTTCAGCATCAGCAATATTATACTTGATATATTTATATATTTTACATATAGACACTTTATTCTTTCAGGCTTTAACTAATCAAATACTGCTAGGGTTCCATTTTCTCCCCCTGTATTTACCTGCTGGCGTAAGGGACGGTTACGGGTCCAGCGTCTCTCACCAGGTCTAGCTGCTTCTCCGCGAGCTGCTGTCCCGCAAGGCTGAGCCTGTAAGCGAATAAACTCACCGTGGTTATTGGGTTATTACAATTTTAGACCGTTTTTGCAGCACTTTAGCTTTGAGTCCCCAGCCTGGGTGGATCCAGCTCTCGAGAGCTGTAACTCCGCAGCTTCCCTTGAGAGCTGTAACAGTTTTTATTCTTGGATCCTGACTTATTGTTATTGCTTTAAGGTGTTAGACTGAGCTAAGCGAGTCCACGACAGGGCACAGGTTAGATATTTAATCACCAAAAAAATCCTACTGCAGGAATTACTGGCTACTGTGGTTAAATAGAAAGAAAATAAAGCTTCAGATGGGCAAAATCTGGCAGCTGAGGCCGGGCAGTTGCCTTCCCACGCAGGTCCTGCCCTGCGGATAGCTGTTCCCCGTCTCCGTTGGTCATCCACAAGCAGCAGGTCATCCTCACCAGTCCAGCAAGGATGCTGCAGACCTCCCCGTGCCTCGAGACCGCAGCAAACTCCGTCAGTTGATCTCCTGGCTTGTTCAGCTGTTTCTCAATGCCGTTTTCAGGCTTCCCATGTACTTTACCATGCATTACAGCTGTTTTCTTCCCGCTGTCTTTCTGAGCTTGTAAGAGAAAGCTCATTTTCTTCATCTCCCTTCATGCTTTCTGTCACCTTCTCCAGCCATACCTCCAGTATTTTATTTCTTTCTTAAAGCAACCACTGTCCACAGAGACATGCGATGGGTTCGGCTCAGAGAGTTTGTCTGTTAACAATGTCTGTAATAGCCTGGGCTCTATTTGGAGTGATTTTTTTTTTTAATAGTTTCCCCACTATTTGCTCTCCTGCTCTACTAATATCAGCACAGAGGACTATTTTTAGCTGGTGATCTCATTGATGAAGCGTACCTTTGGTTTATCGCTGGGTTCTTTAAAAAAAACGCTTGCACCCATACCCAGTCATTGCAATCGGGTTTGTTCTCAAGAGTGCAGGCTGCACCTCGTCCAGCTCGGGCAGCAGCGATCTGCTCCTTGTCAGGTCTGTGTGGCACCTTTCCTATCCACTAACGTCAAAGCCTGGCAGCAGTCATGTAGATGACACGCTGGATGTCCCTAAAACCTGGGAGGGGTATGAGTAGGTGGGACTTCGAGCGTGAAAGCCCCAAAGGCCATCCCAGCCCAGGCTGCGGGGGAGTTTTGGGTCCAGACCCTGAAGCAGACACAGTTCATGTGCTGCTGGCACCTGCTGTAACAATTTTTCTGCTCCACTAGAACCAGCGGATGGGGAAACTCCGGTTGAAAGGTGTTTTCCCAGTACCGGTCATTTTAGTGCAGGGGGTCTTAGAGCAGCTTCTTTCCGCTTGAGTCGGGGCATCATCATGTCCCAAGCTCCAGCTCCACTCCAGAGTCTTCAGTCAGTGATTTCCACAACTGTCTGCAGACACCAGCGAAGATATGGTCGTGCTCCTGTCAGAAATGAAATCGTGCTGATGCTGTTCTCAGCTGGAGATCAGGAGAAGCCTGTAGTCCACGCAAAGCTTGAATCCCACTTGTACCCAGTGGCCCTCCAGGCTTGCCAGCCGTCGTTCCCAGTGGTTCACCCCAGCTTGCACTAAGGGTGTCCACTTCCAATCCTACTAAATTCAAAACCTGGATACCTCTCACCTCTTCAGTAGCTCCACTCCCTGGGTTATCACCCACGGAAGATGGTTTTTCTTTGCCCTCTGGAGACAGCAGTTTGAGGGGGTTGCTGACGTGAGCCTGTGCCCGCGGGTGTGTTGTGAAGCCCCGGCGGTGCCTGGGCAAGGGTTTATTCCCTCTCTCCAGAAGCAAACCTGAAAACTGATTCTTCAGTCAGCAGGATGGCAAAGAAGCGGTTGGATCTATAACTGGAACCCACTTGTTGTTTTCTGGTAGCTTAGCAATAACCGCGGGCAAGCAGGAGCTGTTCCCATGGGGAATGCGTTGCCTTGGCAGGACTCCACCGGCGTTTGCCAGGATTTTCCACCAGCCGTCCTAACGGGCCACAGTGGAAAATTACATGGCTTTGTCATTTCTCAATAAATGCTTTGTTTAAAATAACCCTTAATGATTTCACTCCGGGCATCGCAGCTTCCTTAGGACGTAGGTATCTGCGTGGGGGAGCAGAAGGTCCCGCTGGCTCAGCTTGGGCAATGGATTTTACGCAGCGGGCTTTTCTGCCGTCCTCCTGGGCTGCCCTTTCCATTATCCTTTACCGTCTCCATCAAAGCTTCCATCTGTCCGTTCACCCTCTGTAACGGCCTTTTTTCTCGTCTCTGTATTACCGACACAAAAATCTCACCATAAAAATCTAAGCAGAGTCCACGCTCCGTCTCCCAGGGGCAGCGAGTTCCTGCGACGCGTCGCCCGTGCCCCACCAGCGCAGGGCTGCTGCGATACGAGGTTGTGTCCTGATGGTGCCTTAGCAATTCCCTGTTGGTTCGGAAAATCCTTCCCCGTGTTCTCCCAGTTTCTGGATCCATCTCTGTGCTGCTGACCTCTTACTGATCTGCTGGGCAGCATGGCTCAGCGTGCTCAGCAAGCAGGGCGCGTGCTGATCCCTGAGTGCGTCTCGGAGCAAAGACCGGGGCAGCACAAGCTCTCGGCGCTGAGCTATTTCATCTCCATTCGATCCAAAGCTCAAAGACATTTCTAGAAGTGGCCACGCACCAGTCCACAGCTGGGCTTCGGTTTGTGGTCTCGGGGGCCCCAGGGTGGGCAGTGACTGCTGCTCCCAGTTCCTTTTTCTGTTCACGTTCATACATATGACCCCCATAATCCTCCTCCTCTGACAGCTCCTGGTCTAACTCTCTGTTTCTCGCAGGTATTTTTAATTTCTTTATCCTACTCTGCTTTTGCAAGCATTGAAATTTAGCTCCGTGTTGCCTGTGCTGGGGTCCCCTTGGAGGTCCCCCTTGCTCCTGCATGAAAGCTGCAGCAGGTATTAATTCCTGCAGCTTCCCTCTGGTTTCCTGAATTTACAGGAAATAATTCCAGCTGGATCTGGTCCTGGAGAGCCGCGGGATGGTGCTCGTCTCCTAAAGACATGGGAGACTGGAAATGGGGAGGAGAAGAGTGATACCAGAAATCAGGAGCGGAGGAGGAAGAGGAGGAGGAGGAGGAGGCTCCGTGACTTTTCTTACCAAGGCAAAGTTCAGAATTGGTTTGGGGACCCCGAGCAAAGCGCGGTTGCTCTGGAGGGCGTAGAAATTCAGGGCCTCGGTGGTTTTTCAGCCGAAACCATGACGTGTTGTTAGGAGGAGGGTGAGCTGCCGGCACCGGGGAGGTGAGAGGCACAAGAGGGTCTGCGGCATCTGCGAGCATCGGTGCGCTTTCCTAAAGCTGCCTTTTCTCCCCCAAAAACATCACCTTCCTCTTGAGCTGGATTCTGGGGGTCCTTCGGCTCCGACGCTGCCCCGTCGCGCGGAAGGGGGAAGCGTGTGCCAGACGCCGGGCTGCCGTTCGAAACCGGAACCCTGCCTGCCTGCGGGACGGGGATATGGTGGGCCGGGTCCGTGGGGGCCGCGCTGTCTTCGCGGCCAGGGGGACTCTGCCCCGAGGGGCTGCAGCTCCCAGTCTGGTTACAAACCCCCAGGGATGCTTTTTTGGGTGTTGTTTTTCCTCTTTCCATTGCCCCCGTCCCGGGGGGGACATCCCCACGGTGCAGGATCCTGCAGCGCCCGCAGCCCTGGTGACCTGGCCACGCTGGGGTGACCGTCCCCAGCCCTTCCAGCACAGGAAGAACCGGGCTGTACGGGACAAACTTGGCACCCGGCTCCAAAACCTCTCACCACGATGTAGCTGTGACTTCTAACCGTTGGTATTTTCAGGTGACCTCCCGTGATGGCAGGGGAAGAGCATTCATTAGCCGTCCTCCTGCGAGCGCTGCAAGGTCTCGCACCGAAAGACTTCCAGGAGTTTAAGACGAAGTTATCGGAGGTTCACGTGGAAGGAGGATGGAATATCCCCAAGGATTCGCTGGCGAAGGCCGCCCACCCTTGCGCGCTTGTCAGCTGCATGGGCAAGACCTACAGCGAAGACGCCGCGATGGACATCGCGATCGGGCTGCTTGAAGAGATGAACCAGAGAGACCTGGCTGAGAAACTCCTGGATGGGCAGGTGAAAGGTGGGAAGCCAGGCTACATTTTGCTTTTCTTTGTCTCTTTTTTCCCCTTAAGTGACCCTGGAGACAGGTGGAAGTCGGTAAGACCAGGTTTCAGCTTCCCAGGGAGCCTGGAAACATGAAGCTGTCCCGCTGTGGTCCTACCAGTGCGGGGGCTGGAGCGACCTCTCCTCTTGCTCTCTCTGCTTGCTGCTGGGCTCCCTCTTCTCCTTGAGGAGACCCTTCCGCCCTCGGCACCGCTTGGCAGGCAGCTGGGCAGATCCTTCCCTCCCAGGATGGGGATTGAGGACATCTCTGCAGAGCTCAAGTTTGGTCACGCTTCGGAGCCGGAGGCATCCCCGGGAGCCCAGGGACGGTGCCTTTGGGCCCAGGGGCACGAGCAGAGGGGGACGGAAGCTGCAGGTGGCCCCAGGCGGTTGAATTTACTCCCAGGGTGGATGAGGATTGCGGGGTGTTTAAAACAGGTGTTGATGGATCAGAATGATGGGGGAACCGGGGATAGCAGAAGGACCCCTCCAACTTACCAAAGGCCCTAAATTCTCACAGGCTGTGTCCTTATTGCCTCTGTCAGGCTGAGGAAAGCCCTGAGTGTTGAAACGAGCATCCCGTTGGTGTGTCAGGAGCGCGGTTGGGCTGCTTAGGAGCTCCTCGGGCATCTGGCTGTGCTTGGGACTGACTCTGCTTCTCACCATCGCAGAGTACAAGCGGAAATACAGAGAGCACGTGGTCCGTGAGTTGGTGGTTGCGATCTCCACGTGACAGAATTACCTTTCCCCTAGCTACCTGTTTCTTTTGACAAGTCTCACGCAGCCGCTGTTTAAACCCGACGGAGACGGGCAAACGCCGCGGGTCGTGGGGCTGGTGGGGGCCCCGGGGATGGGGAAGACGATGACGGTCAGGAAGGTGATGGTGGAGTGGGTGGAAGGGACTCAATATGTGCAGTTTGACTACGTCTTCTGCATCGACTGCAAAGACATTGCCTTTACCAAGGAAGCGAGCGTGGCAGACCTGGTCTCAAAGTGCTGCCCTCACAGGCGAACGCCGGCTGGGAAGATCCTGGATGACCCGAAGAAGATCCTGTTCATTTTTGACGGCTTTGAGGCCCTGGGATTTTCCTTGGTTCAGCCCGAAGATGAGCTGAGCTCTGACCCCGGGGAAGTGAAGCTGCTGGAAAGCACCCTGATGAGCCTGCTGAAGAGGACTGTTCTCCCCGAGTCCTCCTTGCTCATCACCACGAGGCCAATGGCTCTTCAAAGCCTGGGACGAAGCCTGGAGGCTGAGTATTACGCAGAAATACTGGGATTTTCAGCAGCCATGAGGGAGGAATATTTCCACAGGTATTTTCAGAACAACAGTAAAGCTGGTGCGGCCTTCAGGTTTGCCAGAGGCAATGAAATCCTCTACAGCTTGTGCGTCATCCCGGTCATGAGCTGGACCATCTGCACCGTCCTTGAACAAGAGCTTTACAAGAAGAAAAACCTCCTCGAGTGCTCTAAGGGCACCACGCAGATGAGCGTGTCTTACCTCTCCCAGTTAATGCGGTGCAGAGGCAGGGACAACCTGCAGGACCTCCAGCAGTTCCTACGCAAGCTTTGCTCCTTGGCTGCCAACGGTGTCTGGAAGCACAAGGTTCTCTTTGAGGAGAAGGAAATCAAGGACCGTGGCTTGGACCAGCCAGACCTCCTCCCCCTCTTCCTCAGCGAGAAGATCTCAAAGAAAGACGCAGGCCATGGGAACGTGTACAGCTTCGCCCACCTGCACCTCCAGGAGATCTTCGGGGCCATGTTTTAGGTTCTGGAGGACGATGAGGAAACGGCCGGCGACTCGGGGGCTCTCACAAAGGCTGTCAATATTTTATTAGAAAGCTATACCAAGTCCAGGAAGGATTTGAACTTAACGGTGTGGTTCCTGTTTGGTCTGGTAAGCCAGAAATCAATTGAGTATGCGGACGAAACCATGGGGTGCAGAATTTCACCGCGAGCCAGGGAAGATATGTTGAGGTGGCTTCAGGGGAGGCACAGAGGCATCTCCCATCCCAGCCAAGTGCCGAAGGTTTCGGAGTTGGACACTTTCCACTTTTTGTTTGAGATGAACGAGAAAAGCTTCGCACAAAGCGCATTGGGTCATCTCACTGACATAGACTTGGAGGACACCAAGCTGACCCTGTACGACCAAATGGCCCTTTCCTTCTGCATCAGGCAGTGGGCTGGGCTGCGTCACGCTCCGGGGATGCTCCTTCCTCCAGCAGGATCCCGGCTGGCCATGACAGCGCCTCGGTGAGTGCTGCCCCTCTCTGCTCTAACGACCCAAAATCGCAAAGGTTGCACCTTCTCCACCCCAAAGGGTGGTTTTAAAGGCATTTCAGCTCCTCCTACCCAAACGCCGGCTTGTCCTCGCCCTGGGGGTTTAGTCCCTCAGCGGAGGATTTTACTTATTCCTGGGGAGAACAAAGACCACGTGGGCTCCTCCACCCGCTGCGTGCAGTGGGATTGATGGAGACGGAGCGTCTCGGCTCAGCTTCTCCAGCCTGCGCAGGCCCCTCCGCAGCCAGGTCTGGCTTTGCCTCCCCCTTCTCGCATGCAAAGGGGAGATGGTTGGTGCTGAAATTTTAATTAGGCCCCGAGCTTTGCTCCAGAGCAGGCTACCTCCAGCAGTAACGCTCGTGATCCTCTACGTCTCCAAAGCCACGGAGGTCCCTCAAGAGGAGAGCTGGTGGCGAGCACTGCTTGGGGGATTTTGCGCCGGCGTCGAAGCCGGGAGGTCCCGCTGCCAGTGAGCGCTGCCTGTGCCCCCTGGGGCTCTGTTCCCCCGCAGCCCCCATG